TTATTATTATTATTATTACAAAAGGTTTTAGAAAATATTTTTTGTGTCATAGATGGTGCATTTTTCAGGACATTTTTTAAACATGACTAAACAAAAGAAAGAAAAAAAAGCACACGCAAAAACTAGAGAGTATTGAGACTGAGTGTTCACTATTTTAGTAACAAAAAGAGTGCAAAGAAYATGGTCAAAAATTTGTTGTCTAGAATGGACACTGGATTTAAAATTATTGAATGCTTATTATGTACACTGYCTGGCCCCCAAGAAAGTAACCACCTGGATTTAACTAAGCAAATRGGTATGAGGCCCCTATAGTATTTTTACTGCATACTTACTTATTTGACAAGTTGTGCTGTCTTGAGTTTTATATTGTAACTACTAAAGCATGCACACATGGACAAACACACACACACTCACACACTTCATCTTATCTGGCTTTGTTCAAACAAACAAGGACAGTAGAAAATCATCTTACGCCCACTCAGAATTCAGAAGTGCAGCAGAAAGCTTGAAGTAGTTTTATTTATTTAGAATCTTCCTTATTGTCCCTGAAAATGAACGTGTCTTGAACGATAAAAAAATAAGAAAAAAATGTTCCAAAATGCAGGGATAGAAAGCAAATTTAAGAGATGAGCTTTCAGTTTGACTTTAATGAGAACACATGTATTTTCAAACCCTTTCTTTGTCACATTTATAAAATATYCAACTTGCAGTGCAGTGTGACTGAAGAAAAGGAATGTTCTGTTACCCCTGACTTGTTTTTTTTTTTAATCAATGGTAACATCTGGACTCCGAGTAAGAATTATCCTGAAGGAGATTGAAGTGATCGTAGAGTGGACTGCAGTTCAAAGAATGCAATGTGCTGAGATCGCCCAGAGTGCTGCTGAGCCACGAATGACGCTTACTAAAAATAAATCCACTGTATAGATTGAAAACATGGTTCTGATCCACACTTCTGTACAGAATTGTTTTAAKCCTGAAAAGTTGTTCGCTTTATCGTTGATGTTTTTCTGTATGACCCATTTTTTCCCCCAATGGAATTTGTTTCTGAACCACTGGTTTGACATTTTCTTCTTTAGATTTGTCAATATAAATGCTGCCTTAATCAATAATAGTAATTGTGTCTGGTTTGTACCACTTCTTATTGTGATGCCACTCAGATTCGCAGACTAAATAAGATGCCTGTGCAGCTTATAAGTGATTGTCCTTGCTTCAAACGTGACACTTGTCATTTAAACCAATGCATCTTGCCTGCAGCAGACACATTGTTTATGAGCAGAAACATTATTAAAGAAGCATTTAGTTGTGATTAGTGCCTTGCAAGCTTGTTATATATTGCACACTTTGCTCCTAAAGTAGTGGTTGTTGTTTATATTCCCTATCAAAGTGTTGGTCAGTCAAAATGCTGGATCAGAAAGATAATTACTGTATGGTTTTTTATGATGATAATGCTAAAAATCAAACTATTATTTTTCAAACCTCCTAGAGTTGTACTGGTTGTGCCATAGAAATATTCCTAATCAAAAGTGTTCACAAGGTCAAGAAAAAAAAAATCACCACTCAAGTGGATTTCCATCTCATTAGGACCAACCAAACTTAGCTCATCATTAAAGGGTGAATGCAAACAATAGAAAAAGAAAAAGACAAAGGGTGCCCCCCCCCAAAAAAAATAAATAAAATAAAATAAAATAAATGAAAGTGAGAGCAAAGCTACAAGAAGTGCATACAAGAAAGAAAGAAACCGTGGATCTAATGAAAGGAGCGGTGGGGTATTTTGATATCTCCAAAWGGGATATTTCCTGAGCCAAGGCGCTAATCCGGCTACCATTAGCATTTTCATGAGTCCTGTGTCCGGGGGTTGGCGGAGCATGTCACTGCCTCATTTGGTTACTTTTGAAAACACACATACACACACAGGCTCACACACACACACACGGACAAACACAATCTCCCTCCTTTTAAAAAAAGCAACTATCCCCCACCCCCATGACAACACTGCACACAAATTGCTCCCAGCCCCATTGGTATCTGCAACTGTTTATGTGTCATGCAAACCAATACTGCCCTAAAAATCAATGCAACAGAGCTGAGGAGTGGCTTGCAGCACTTTTCCTTATCTGTCAGAGTTCTCCTCGTTTCTCCCTTAAAATGAATTTCTCCTCTTCACTGCCTTTTCGGTCAGAGTTGCTGATGAATCCTGTAATTCCTGTTATTGTGTGGTCCTCTGAACGAATTTATTCCCATCAGAAATGCTTTTCTTCAAAAATGGTCTGACAAAATAAGTCAAAGAAAGACCTAACTTTCAGGTTTGAATTTTATAATGAAATGACAAAACTTGCTGCTGCTAAATTGCTTTAGAGAGAATGAAAAAAAAAATAAAAACAGACAGGTGTTATGTGTTATTTGCAACGGGCCACAAATGTAAGTTAAATTGTTTTTTGTGTTTTTTTTTAAAGTGCTGGGAAATCATCTATTACCCTATGTGGTATTATGTGGGACAAAAGATGTGAGAATAATCAGTTGGTTTCTTGTTGACAACCTCTGTGCATTCTCTTGGAAGCGGGACAACATTTGTTTGGCAACCACATTTTCAATTTTCTTTGCTTTCATTGCAACAAGCATTGCTGTGTGTGCAACAAAACTCCAAAAAGAACCAGACGGGAAGGCAGTCCCGTTATCTGTGGTTAGACAAATGCATTATCTTAAGTGTTGCCATCTTCAAAGACTTGCTTTGACACTCGGCCTTTTAGTCCTTTTGTTCCTYAGCCAAGTACCCGTCAATCTCTTTGACACAAAGCTCTTTGCTGTCCCCTTGAACTGAGCTGTTGATAAACTTTAATAAAACACTTTAATGGTTTGCAGATTGAGGGGACTATCTATGAGACTTTCTTTTTTTTAATGTGACCACGTTGTGTTTGAACCTTAAACGTCAACCTTTTTTAATTTGAAACCAAACTGCGAGGAAATATTACTGACAAGCAGCCCCGGCAATAACAAGCTGGTGTTGTAAATAATTTTGTGCCCACCTCACATTTTAACAGCTTTCCGACAAAACCGACTAAAGGCGCAGGAAGCTTAAATGGCAGAATAAGGAAACATGACACAACACCTGTCTTACCTATATTGGACTCTTCAAAGCTGTACGTGTTCGATGTTTTCCCCAAGGAATTTATCGCCGTCACATTAACTATGTAGGGGTAGGAGGAGAAGACCTCGGGAAATCGTACATGACAGCGATTCTTATGGACCGGATCTTTCTGCACTGTCAGTGAACGCTGGTTATGCCTGAAAAGATAAATGAAATATAAGCTGAGGGGGACAGACAGGAAAGGGTATAGAAAAAAATAAGAGCAGATGTGTGGAAAACAGGAGTAAGAAATGTGTAGTGTGTTTCCTGTTTGAACACGGTCTCATACGAAACGGGAGTGCAGAMTAAGAGAGCAGGAAGTGCTAAAGCAGTCTTGGTTTATGTTAAACCTATCAAAAACAAAACATAAATTCTATGTTTAGGTTTAGTATTTTCACTAAATTCAACAACATTTCATTCCTTCCCCTTTTTTCCMCATTTCRAGTCTTTGTTAGGCCAAAGGGTAGGGAATTTGTCTTTACCACAAAGTAAAAACCRGCCTTACRARCACACACAAAAGTAAGTGTTTATCTGTTATTAATTTTTATTAGAAATAATAATTAAGAAAATAATAATTTGATGACACTGTTTAATTTTCAGTTCTGTAGCAGAAATTCTCTCCAGGAAGATATTTCAATTTGAAACTGTAGAGCAGGGCTATTCAACTAAATTGCTCCCGGGGGGCCACAGCTACTACAGGCCAAAAGCACAGGGGCCGAACATCCAGCAATTAAAGTCTTTATGTAAATTAAATAAGTATTACAAAGATATGTTACCTTTGAAATTGTTTATTTTGCTGCATTTAATCATGAATACAACATACAGAACCCAAAAGTAGTGATGACAAAATATATCAAAAACAAAAAGAGCACATTATGCCTCCATCTTAACACAAATATTATTTTGACATCTCTGACTTGCCAATTTTTTTAAATCAATTGTATTTTTACTTTCATAGTTTTTCCAACAGTTTGTAGTTTTAAATATCTTGGATGTTCATATGTTTTTTTATCAGCTTCTAGTCAAGATTCTGATGTTTCTGTACATACCACATATCTATGTCTAAATAAAAGAACTTATAATAATTAAAGTAGAAAACTGGGGTTTTGTGCTTAAGAGATGAATGCACTAATTAGCAGGCCAAACTTTGGTCACTTGCTGGCCAGATGTGGCCCTYGGGCCGCCAGTTGAAAAGCCCTGCTGTAGAGTTAGGATTTTAAACTGCATTGGCTTATGGTACTTTACCAACAAGCAATTCRATGTTTAGTTTGACATATACCCATTTTTTTATTTTGCTTCAATCAAAGTCAGTTATTCTGAAGAATGGTTTTATYAACTAAATACTTTCCTCCTTTAGATTTTGCTTTTAACTAGATTACTTTTATGTACATTTCTGCAGCTTTTACATTTGCCTACAGGCTAAAGGACAGTTAAAGTTTGCTCATTTGAAGTCAGCAAACCTACATCCCTTCAAGATTAGCGAGTCAATAATGAATCTTAATGGAACACTTCATTTCTCGCAGATAAAAGCCAGATGCCAGAAACTCGAATTAGAATTACGAGTGACAGTTAAAGTCCTGTTTTGGACTACAAAGGAGCTCTTCAGAACAATGTGGAGCTGATGGTGTGTAAAAAATGTGAAAAGGCATCCCTAGCGGTTCCGTGCCTGTCTRCTTTCTGACTGACCATGGACAATAAATTTGACTGTTATTGTTTTCATCTCTCAGTCTTTCTTGACCTAAATATCATTTAAACTATAATATCGCTGTTATAATATTAATGAAGGTAGCATCTAGATGCTGCTGTGTAAACAGGGAAGCTCTGTAATTSTTCAAAGTAAACTTGATGAGGGTATTTGAGCATCTGCTGCACTGTTTAAACCTGTCGAAACAATCCAAGATGCTTTAAGAACGAAAACGGAACAAAGCACCTGTAACAAGAAAAACCTCAGTGTGATTTGACATATTTGTATTTTAATTATCTTTAATTAAAGGTTCTATCACCAACACTTTGGAGTTAGCTTGTTATCTTCTTTAACTGAAATATATGAAGACTGCAACAAAGATTGTGTTCTAAATAATGTGTCAAACACACAAGGTCCGCGGGCCAAATGTGGCCTGCAGGTGACTCCCATATGGCCCGCCATTTTTTTTTACTTAACTTGAAAATTGTTTCTTATATCAATGGTAAACTTTAAATTTATGATTAAATGCAACAATATAAACTTTAAAKGTKAAAGATAACAAYTGACCTACCCCTGRGCTGTTGGCTTTAAGTAACTGAGGAGTTTAGTTGGATAACTCAGTATTAATATCTGAAAATAAGCTGCTTTAAAGTCAGCATGAATCATAAACTAAATATGTCATAATGCATACTAGCTACTCACTAGAAACCCGTCAGTGAGTAAAAGTTTAATRGTTTTACTTTTAGTATTTCTGTATTATTTRTTCCAGATTTAGTCAGYCGTACACTTAGTTCTTATTAGTGTTTAAAAGAGGACKTGTTAAAASACTGTTTAGTCAAAGTTAAACAYRAAACATCAAAGTTCATTACAAGCGGCCCTTCGAGGGCCACCACAATGCTCATGTGGCCGTCGGTGAAAATGAGTTTGACACCCCTGTTCTAAATAATGCCATATGGGTGAAATGATTGCACCAACCATCATCACCTGAAACAGAAACATTCAGAATGACTTACTGTATGTCCACTTCGAAGGCTGTGGGGATGTATGTTGGATGCTGTAGGTGCCAGTTGCAGTAGAAACCTTTAGGGTACGTGTTGGACCGACATGTGATCACAGGCTCCCGGGGAAGAACTATAGTAAAAAGAGCAAAAAGAAACAGCTGTTAGCTGTGAGTTGAATAAAAATAAAAATAAAAGAGAAGGAAAATATCTAAACTGTAGCAACAGCCTTTACATTAATCAAACACAAAGCAGCTAAGGCTAATTAAACAATGCCTTATTGCATATTACATTCTTGATCGAATTTCTCATTAAAACCGCCTCAGCTTCTCAGTTCAAATTAGGCTGTGTCTCTGGTTTGTTTCATTAAATATGTTTTCAATTCATTTAGCTGTGGATGTCTGTGCATTTTCTTGGACAAGTCTTAAATTTTTAATAACAAATGCATTAAATTTTGATTAGAAAGGAGATGAAAGRGTGAAAAAAAGATCCAATCACCAACTAATTACTTTATATAACCTTTGTCCATAACTCTTTTTTAAGTTTTCCAGTTTCATGTCTTCTGTGATTTGAAATACTTTGAGTCAACTGTCCAGGAAAACGTGGAGTGTGGGAAAGCAAGAACAAATGTCTTCAGTCTCATGAAGTAGGTAGCAGCCTTAAAATATCACAGCTTTTCTCAAATTTGCAAATATCCATACCAATCACCTGAACTAAATTATGCAACCATGTTGCAGAATGTTTGATCTGTTTGCACCACTTCTGAAAACACCGCCTTCAAGTGAAATCTGGCACACACCAACATGTCAAAGCTTTCCTTAACGGGCTGCTGTGGGGGTCATTTGACTGTCGCACACAATCAGCTGTGCTTAAACGGCCACCGCAGCGACTAATTAGCCTGTCAATAATGGATAAGAATGGATACTGGGGGACGGCATCCAATCACCCTCAGTTAATCACAGAGACTAATTGAGGCCATCTCAATCAATTGGCTCCTCATCTGAGAGCTTCAGTCAAAGTCACGCAAAACAAAATGTCGCACACAAACACATTACGGCGCACAATTAGTGTCAAGATGTACTAACACACTCCCGTGCTCAGATCCTGCAGGGCTTTGTAGAACTAGCTGTAATCAGTCAAACAGCTTATTAAGAACTTGGCTCAAAGACAACATCTTAAAAAACACATTGAAGGGGTGGGGTGGGGTGGGGGTGKGGGGACTTCAAGCGACTGGTTAAAATAATGATGAGCTCCAGTCGGGTCGAGGAAACCAAAAGGAGAACGGAGCATAGATGTGTGCTCTTGCTAGCCATGTTTGCTTTTGTTTATTTGAACTCAAAAGGTGTTTACCCCTTTAAATCAGCTCATTTCCTGCTGCAGAAGTTCCACCAAAGACAGTCTGGSTCATTTGACAGAAAAAAAGTTCTTATTTTTTGCTTTTTATGACAGAGGATTTTTAAAATTTAAACAATAAGTGACTTTATAATGTGAAATAAAGAATGATAATAATAAAAGTAGGTACATTAAAATACCTTTATAAAGTATTCTATATATGTTTCAAATAGGTTGTATACACAAACGCTCACATTTTTTACATATAGGGAACTTATTGACAAATGTTTGGTAAATCATGAAGAATGCAGGCAAACTGTGAGAAAAGAAAACATCAATAAATGTTGGCTCAATATTTAGTAAGGAACAAGTAATTATAGCTTTTCTTATCTGATATCATGGAATCATTGGTCAGCATTATTGAAAAGTGTTAAAAAGATTCATTGATACTATAGTATTATTTTCATTAAAGGGGCAACATAATGTAAAATCAACTTTTTTGAGGTTTATATCATGTATGTTATACACTCATAAAAAACATGCCCAAAGCCTTGCTTTGACTCATTCATGCAGTGTTTTTAGAAAGCCTTGCTGAGGAGCAAAACGACAGGTGGGGACCAGAAACGCCGTTTGGGACCAGAAACACCTCTAGGACGTGTCTATAAGCCGAACTTCCTCATGGCAGAGTGCCCCCCCTTCCCCCATGCACATACACCCCGGACTCCTGCAGGCTCTCGGGTGAAAGTGAAAGTGAAACTTAACTGTCTGCTGAGCTCTTAACACTACTTCTCACTCTGAAGGTCTTTTCAGATTCAAAATACCTTTGAGGAAATGTATTTTCAGATGCCAAGGAAACTGCGTCATAGTAGAAGAAGTAGATTGTAAAATGCTAAAAGTCACAGTCAGACCACATCCCAGTTTGTAATTATGGTAGTAAATTGTCCTTTCTAAGTCAATAAAAGCAGAGTTGAAAAAAAAAAGAAAAAAAGAAAGAAGATGTGGTATTTATTGCTAAACAAGAAAAAAAAAAGAAAACACAAAGAGAAATGAGAAATTGAAAGAAATGTATAAAATACACTGACAGGATACAATAAATCTGATTAAAAAAGAAGCGAACAGATAAAAGGAAAGTTGCAGAGAGTGTAGGCAAATCTCGGCTCTCACATCAAATTTGACAAATGTAACCTTAAACGCTTCAGACGGTACAAATTCAATGCAGAAAAAAAATAAACAAAACAAAACAAAACAAAAAAACCTAAAACAAAAATGTCTGCAAGATTGTTTCTATTAGAATATCAAAAGGTGTCTGTACATTCAGATTCAGTGAAAATAGATTTTCAAACGCAGGGGTGGAAACAACAAGAGATAACACACCTGCAGGAAAGACAAAAATCCAAGAACAAAGGCAAGATGAATATTAAAGCACATGAAACAGTAATTCAGATTAAAAATACATTGTGCAAGCGTTCCTCCCACTACTCCTTTTGTGTGTGTGTGTGTGTGTGTGTGTGTGTGTGTGTGTGTGTGTGTGNACATATTACCTGAATGGCACACAGGACACAGTTCATGAATAAATGTTATTTGAATTTGTCTGCTTTCATCAGCTGGTTTGAATTGCTAAATCAAAAGGGATTGTTTAGGTGTTTTTTTTTTCTTAGCTTCATGAAATAAACACCTGCACTTTTGCATAAGTGTAAGGCTGTAGTGGTCAGCACTGGGGTCTTTTGATCCTGAAAATCCGGGTTCAAGACCAGACTGTGTCAAGAAGGACATGTGAAAATAAAAATAAAAACAATGACTAATTTTTTTTTTGTGTGACCAGTCTTGCTATTGCAACCCTTGCAGAAAGGAGTAACAAATGTACAATGTACATGTACAATTTGTTATGCTGGGTTAGTATGAAGTGGTAATACATGCTCATTAATTATAATTAAAACAAAGGAAAATAGGTTGAATGAATTGAGATGAGTAATTCTATCAGTTACTAAACCTTTATTGTTTAAAAAAACTAACTTCCAGGAAAATAGTATGAAAAAAATTTGTGGCTCACATGAATAGGGTGAACTGAACTGATTAAAATTTATTTAAGTAATAAAGGTCTGGTTGTAACATCTGAGAAAAAAAACATGATGCATTGTGCAAATAAATACTATATGACATAACTATTAAATAAAAAAAACATAAAAAAAGAGTAATCAGGATTGTACACGCATTATCATCATTATTGTTAGTATTTTCAAATCCTATAATATCTTCATAAATTGTATCTTTACYATGCATGCTTAAAAGTTTCAGGGCTTTTAGTTTGGCTAAATCACATCCTCCAGGATATGTTCTCATTGTGTGCAGATACATTACGGTTTGCATAAAAGGAAACAGATTTTTGTCGARTAAATCCCTTTCCTCATTAAGGCAACATATATTTAGGATAAGCAGACGTGCAGAACACATAACGAAACAAGGAGCAACAACATACTGAAGCCAGAGAATAATACAGACGTTCACTTATATATGGATTATGTTGCATGATCAAAGCTAGGATGTAATTAACCTCGGAGCAACACATTTTGTTTTTAAACATAATAACAGCAGCCAGAAGTTCTTTCCTCCCCCCCCCCCCTCCTTCCAAACTCTCCTTCTGCAGCACTAATCCAAACCTGTCACACAGAAATTCTGGGTCTCGCCACAGAGGATTTTTGTCACAGGAGGGCGCGTGCAAACATACACACACACTAAGAAGTGCGATGAGAGACAATGACATCCAGTAGCTCGGTCGCTAGGCTGCAGACACTGTAGTAATTGCTATTTAGTTGTGCTGGTCGCCTCCCCCGTTGCTTTGTGTTTTTAGYGTACATGTATGGATCTCTGTGTGTGCGCGCACCATTGTTTGTCTCTGAGCAGAGTGTGTGTTTGCAGGGAACTTTCTTGCTGCTACAAAAAAAAAGAATAAATAAATAAAAATCTTTCTGATTAATTTTCTTCTAGTCATCTTTATAATTTTAAAAGTACATTTATACCCTCAACAAAATCCTAAAAAAAATTACAACCTTCGGAACCCTCCGGGGTCGAACTCCCCACTCGAATTTCCCTTGATTTGATTTTTGCTTTCATGGAATCAATTTAACAGGCTACACACTTTGACTAACATAGTTAAGTATGAGGAAAAACAAGCCAGGGGTGTTCCAACAGCTCACCATGCGCCTATCCAGCTATCAGTCCATTTATCTATCATGCACATCTTTTTAGTTTGAATTTCGTGCTCATTAGAAAGCACAGTGAAGGACTGGATCCTCTCGGGAGTTTCTCCCGCCTGGAATGGCCTGTAGGTGTACGGCTCCGGTCTCTGCGTGACTCGTCCTGCCAGCGCTGGGCATTCTGCGTTTTAGATTAGCTTAGTCATGAGTCATGGGAGAAAGAGGAATGTAAATAAAACTGGCGGACAAAGTCATTGAGACACTGTGGTGCCTTTTTGTCCAGACCAGCTGCCGTGGTTAACAGTAATGAAATTGTAGTGCACTAYTTTTAACGGACACCCCCAGAGCTACACTAAAGCACATAGATATGTGGGATTGTTTGTGTTTGTATGGCTGATTTTTTGTGTGCAATGGTAATATAAAACTTTATATAGGTGCAACTGAAATGAAACCGGGATTATTTGTCCATACGGCATGTGTGTCCTTCAGTTTGCCTCTTTAAAACACAACTTTGCCTGTGCCAGAGTAATATGTYACCCTCAGACTAATACTAAAACATTTACAGCTTAATTAATTGTATTTCTGAATAATGTGGACTGTAAAATGT